GAAAATAACATTCTGTGAAACATACTTTATAAAATTCTCTATCAGGGCTGATGAGAAATCTATAAGCTAAACTGGAAGATTATGAGAAGGCCTCCAACCAGGCCAGTCTTACTGCAACAGATACGCATGCAGTCAGCACACTGGCATTTCAAAATATCGATCGTCTCTGAACAGGAGACGAGCTTCAAAGAGTGGTTGATACATGACAGTCCTTTAAAATTAAAATCATTTAAAAAAAAAAGATTTCTTAACTTGGCCATGATAGAGTAGGATGTCTTTATTTCCATTTTGACTGACATGATGGAGGACTGATTATGGGAGGCGGGGGAAGAATGAGTCAAAAAATGGGTAGGGAAAGGAAAAAAAAAATCATTCTATTAAAGAAAATGGAGTTTTGAGCTACATCAAGAAGGATCAATTGCATTGGGCTGTGTCTACATGGTGTGTAATGCTTCCCAGCTGGCTTAATTACAGCATTCTACATTACCAGCGATCAGAAATTCTAAGAATCTGTAGAAAAAGACAACACTATGATCCAGACTTTGAAAAAATATTCGTGGGAAAACTACTGGAAGGAACGGCCAATTCTGTTACCTTCTTCCTTTAGCAGAAAGCTGTTCTTGAACACCCAGCACCATAAAGTCGTCTTAGCCTGTGAGGCTACGACACAAGCTTGCTCACTAACTCACACTGCCCAGCCCGGGAGGCTGCAGTAGTCGTCTGTCCTCGCGATGACAACCAAGGAAACACTCTGGTATCATCGAATTATAATGATCACACATATTCACAAGTGATGACGCATCTCTGGGAGGGCTATCACCGCCTCTTGAGGGAGACCCTGTGCATCCTGGCCACACGGCACGGGCACACCAGGGACAGGAGCATCCGCACACTGGCACTTACTAGGCGTGTGCAGGTCTAAGGCCAGATGCTGGGTGCTCGAAGGATCATGATAAAGACTGGCATGCCTGTGTTCTGGGAGTGTCATTAGCAAAAACGGCTTGATGATCGCACAGAAGTAGGAATCTCACTGAGACCCAGGTCAGGGATCAAACACTAGCTAGCTATGAATTCAGCGTGGCAGAACGGAAGAAAAAGGGGGACTCTTTCCCAACACACATGGACGTGCATCAAATAAAAAGAGGGAATAGAGAAACTCTCAAGTCAACCTGAGAGACGAACATTGCACAGAGTCAAATAACAGCTTTCCAAAATCACAGAAAGATCAAAATAGCTTAAGCTGAGAAAAAAAAAAAAGTGTGTTATATTTGAGAATAAATATTCATAGTCCTCTAGCTACTACAATTTTGAGGATAATTCACGACAAGACAATGTTTCTTTAGTAAATATGAAAGTGCTGTTACAGGATCTTTGGTCAAAAATTGCACTGGAATGGAAATTTTAATGAAAGGTTTTTAAAGATGCATCTTCTCTCCGCATGCGTGTGGCCCCACCGGCTGGAGATGCGGATACAATCTGGGCCCACACAGACCGGATCAAAGCTAATTGGACTTTGTGGCAAATGAACTCACGACCTAGGACTCATTAGTCATGATCTAACACAAGGAGACTGTGAGCCATAGCAAATACATGTTGACGTGAGATATTTACTTGGAATCATCTCTGTACTTAAATGGGCTTTCTCATTTTAAAGCGTCAACTTTGGCGATGTTGTTTTTCTAACGTTTTGCAAATGAACAAGTTCACTGATCTCATATTTACCTATGGTGTGAAAGACCCTAAGGGCCGTGGTGGAGTTTGGGCATGAGGCAATAGGCAGAATTCAGAGTCCTAAATAGGAGCCAGAAATAAAAAAAAAAAGAATAACTATAGTACTTGATTTTTCAGAAATAGCTAAAGTTGACTGTTCACTATTTATAAGATGCTACAGAAAGCACTTCTGAAAAGCTAACCACCTCCATTGCATAGATGAACAAACGTGAAGCAGGCTGTACATCTTTGACAAAGTCATACAATAGTCATCGCTCCGCCCGGCCCTGGCCCAGTGATGAAGCACGACGATACACACCGTCTCGACACCCGTTCCAACCCCTTTGTCCTCTGCTGCTTCCCATCATACACACGAAAGCTATAGACCAGTGTTCCCAGGTGCCCTGCAGCTAACCACTGCCTTGTGACGTGGTTAAAGCCAAGAGAGAGAAGCAAAAGGGAGCTGGGGCTTTCTGGGAAAGCCTCTGTGTGCATGTGCGTGGCCCCATATACACATATGTGTACACATATCTGCAGGTATACACATATGCTCTTCATCCTGTCCGGAATGTTGATACGATGGTCGCAACTGAAGCAGACATCCTACAAACCTATCAGAAAATCTTGGCCCTAATATCCCTGAGCTGCAAAACCAATGTCAGCAAGAGACTAAAAGGAAGCACCGTTCTGGATGTTTCTAGAGCTCATTTCCTATCATCTTTTAGTAGTTTAGCTCCAAGCTGGCTCAACACATCTGATTAATCCTGATGGAAGGAGAGGCTGATGGAACTGAGCTTGAGAGGCACCCACTCCTCCCTTTCTAAGAAAGCCACTTTTCCCTACTACAGAGCCAACTAATGCTCACTGCCCCTGCTCCCGAGAAATATGCAGCACTCTGTGAGGCCAGATGTTGTCTACTGGAGCAATTTCCATGGTGTAGCCCGTCCAGTTATGCTCCCTCTGCTATATGTCAGCTTATAAGATTTTCTCCGGTAAGGTTGACTTTATATTTGCACTATATATTTGACTATATATTTGCATATGGAGTGCTAGTGATTTGCACAATATGCTACCTCTGGACTTCTTATGACCTGACAAAAATAAAAGCCCTAGTTTGTTCAAACTTGTATTTGTCAGATTTTCTGGGATGCTCTGCTGACAGAATGCTGTAATACATGTAAGATAAAATGCTACAGGAATAGACAGCAGAGTGGTAACTCAGCCCTCTGCTGCAGGGGGCTGGCTTGTCCAGGCATTGTCTAGGATGCCTTTAAACTAGAAGAACAAACCAGGTAGGAGATGGCACATGCTTGAGCAAAGGCAGAGTATATAATGCCTTTACTCTGGGGCTCTTGTGACACAGACAAGGATGAAATGACAATATAACTGAGTGATCTCTAGCAGCATCTAGAAACCCATTATATTTTCCCTGATAGAATGCAAGTCCAAGTGGCAGGTGTATCTATTTTTCTGGTGTAAATGGCAACCGTAGTGTGGGTTCATGGCAGAGATTCTAAAAGCTCACTCCAGGAGGCCCCGGTCCTACACAATAAACAGGTAAAAAAAAACATTCAGAGAATGTCGAACATACGTAAAGAGTTATGGATTCACTAGAGCGACAGAAATTCACTGACCCTACATTATGTGCCAATCTCCTAACTAACTGTAAATAAAACAACAAAATGACATTTTCCGTTCAGAGAGAATTCTCCCTAGTTCGAGAAACATGAATAAGCATTCATAGCACTGTGCTGGAAGTTAAAGTCAGGATTCAGTGCTGTCTGATAAATTAACTGCAGTGGAGAGCCAGGGTCCACGTCACAGGGGGCGGGGGGGGAATGAGGAAGAAGTTTATAAAGATCATACGAGGCTCGGTGTAGGGAACTGCAAAGACAGGACAGAAAGCAGAGGAAACCACATGCCCAAAAATAGGCACGAAAGGGTAGTATTTGGGGAAATCTGCACAAAGTTCATTGTTTCTAGAACAGGTGGAAAATGAAGCTGGAAGAAGGAATGGGATGAATGTCAAGGTAGAGCGGTGAATTGTATTTTATAGGTAAAGGAGGTTTTAAGGCGGTGGGAATGTGGATAGATTCAGTGACCAAAAGCAATGAGAAAAGAGAGAAGAGTCAAGATCAGGGAAAAGCTTCCAGTGTGGTATCAGCTACTGTCTTCCAGGCCCTGTATTAGTTGCTGAAAAGATATTTCCTCAAATGTGAGATCATCATCCTCCCACTTCCCAGGAAAGAATCATAAAAGGCTCGAAATACTTAAGTATCTTAATCATGTTAATAAAATTTATGCAGAGTTAAAGTAGGATTCTAAGGTATTTAGTTATAATAACAATAGGTAACAATAACTGAACTTTGACTATGTGTCATGCACTCTTGTGGTGTTAGATTTATTGCAAGAGACAAAAATTCCTGCCCTCCTGGAGGTTACAGGTTGAGATCATGGGACTCGATGAAACTACCCAAGGAAAGAGAAGGTGCAGTAAGAAAAAAGCAAGCAGAGGTTATCGACCTGGGGGGCACACCAGTGTTGAAGGGAGGTGGGCAGGATGAGAGAATTTGAATTTATTTCAGGTAAGCCCAAAGATCCAACAGATTGCAAACAAAACCTCAAGTGGTTAAATGAAAACAATCCTGGTGACCTGTAATAGTTCCTAGTCTCTTATAATATCCTGAATCTTACTCCAAAGTGGCTGAAAAAAACAATTAGTATAAACTTACAAATTTACATTATTGTTCCTGCAAAGGTGATAAGTTGCGTGGCGGGGTGGGGGTGGGGGGCAAGTTCAGACAGGAAAATAAGATTGAAGGATCAGGTACTCTTATGGAGACTAAGTACTTCATTTAATAAATGCCAAAAGAAACAAATGTACTAGTTTGGTATTAGTTTACAGACAAACACACACACACACAAATTCACCTTATTTATAAAAACAAAAAGCACAGGGTTTATAAGGTATCAGTAAGAAACAGAAATCACCAATGAGGGGTATACATTTTTCTCAACCTAGTGAAAACCATTAAAAGGCATAACAGTTTTCCTAATTTAAAATAATCCATTGAGGTTGAGAAGAAAATCAGCTCACATTCCTCACAAACCTAGACAAATCTCTACACGGGAGGCTCATTCCAGTAACTCTGATCTGGTAAAAAAAAAAAAAAAAAAAAATTACCATGAAAACAAGGAAACAATTTGGGAATAGTGGGATGTGCCGGCAAGTCCATTATTTTTCTCTGACTACGCGGGAGAATGAAAACAACCACGGCACATCAACTTACATCGCTCCGTTGGTATAGACAGTATCACTTCCTTCCACATACTGCACCTGAGCTGGGTAGACATGCTGGACCTGCTGCACAGTCTGAACCTGCTGGACCTGAAAAACAAATATTAGGATCGCCATGAGAAGCCGATCTGACCGAATACACAGCGTTAGCTTTGCCACAAAGATTTCTCTAGGGTGTTGAAAATTGTGAGACTCGTGCTAATTTCAAGATAAGCACGTGGGGGGTCCAGATCAACCGTAGCAAGCACGCTGAATAAATTCTCTACCATTTGCGGATACCTTTTCTGCAGATGTGTAGGTATAGACATACTCCAAATATTTAGGGTGAAACTCCGGAAAGCTCCTCACTTATTCTGATGATTTATGAAACTCTCCTCACCTGGTCTGTTACAGCTAAGTTTATTTTACAATTTAAGAAATACATGGGAAAAAAAAAAAAAGAAATACATGGGGCGGGCGCCTGGGTGGCTCAGTTGGTTAAGCGACTGCCTTCGGCTCAGGTCATGATCCTGGAGTCCCAGGATCGAGTCCCGCCTCGGGCTCCCTGCTGAGCAGGGAGTCTGCTTCTCCCTCTGACCCTCCCCCCTCTCATGTACTCTCTCTCTCTCTCATTCTCACTCTCTCAAAATAAATAAATAAATCTTAAAAAAAATAAAAGAAGGAACTTTAAAAAAAAAAAAAGAAAGAAATTCATGGGGAGCCTGGCTGGCTCGGTCAGGAGAGCACACAACTCGATCTCAGGGTCATGAGTTTGAGCCCCATGTTGGGCATAGAGATGACTTTTTTAAAAAACTTAAAAATAAAATAAAAAATTAATGATGGAAAATTTCACACACTCAAATGTGGAAAAAAACACTATAATAAACCCCCTATACTCATCATCCAAGATAAATAATTGCCACCAGCTCTCCTCTTTTAAGCCCTTACAGGATTATTTAAAAGCAAGTACAGAGATTCTATCACTTCACTCGTAAACGTTTCATTTTGTTTCTAAGAGAGAAAGACTCTTTTTAACATGAACACAATACTAATATCACATATAAAACATTAACAGTTCCTGGATATCATCTAAAATCCAGTCACTGTTAAAATCTAATTATTCCAATGTGTCCTTACAGTTGGTTTGTTCAAATCAGGATCCAAACACGGTCTGCATATTACATTTGGGTGATATTTCCTATCTTGCTCTTTTACTCTCTAACAGTTTCCCATCCTTTTTATTTCTTGACTATCACTTATTGAAGAATCTGGACTATTTATCTTGTAGAATTTCTGGAATTCTAGACTTGGAGGACAGCATCCCTGAGAGGTCATTTAATAAGTTCCTCTATCTCCTGTTTGTCCTATAAACTGGTAGTTAGATTGAGGGCCTTGAACAGGTTCAATTTTTGAAAAGCTACCGTTATCAGTTGCCATATGACAGCTAGCTCTCTCTCCTTCTTCAGTGTTAACATATAATCGGTGGGGTCAAGTGTTGTCAGCCACATCCACTTCCCATAATGCTCCTTCTTCATGCTTTCCCTGAGATTATTAGTAGCCACTGACAATCCTTTTCTAGGGCTTGTATTTCAATTAATAAAGGTTCTAAGTCTGGTAGTCTGATTCTGTTATTCCTTCTTCATTTATTAGTAGACTGCTATAAAGAAACTCCCCTCGGGGCGCCTGGGTGGCTCAGTCGGTTAAGCATCTGCCTTCAGCTCAGGTCATGATCTCAGGGTCCTGGGATTGAGCCCCACGTTGGGCTTCCCTGCTCAGCGGGGAGTCTGCTTCTCCCTCTCCCTCTCCCCCTCCCACTGCTCGTGCTCTCTCTCTCTCTCCCTCTCTCAAATAAATAAATAAAAAGAAATTCCTCTCATTAATTATTTGGTTACTTTGAAATAGGTTCATACAGGAAGAGGAAGATAAATACATGATTCTTCTCTTTACCAGTACTCAGAATGTTATCCCCTAGCTCCCTTCCAAGGTGAGCAATGTGGTTTGGGGTTTGGTTTGGTTGGCATTTTTATGATTCTTGCCTGTTAAACATATTTGATGTTTTTCAGTCCAGCAGTTTTTTGGTTGGTAAACTGCCCCATCTCTGACCAATAACAGTCCCTTCAAAGGGGATTCTGTATCTTCTGACACCATCACAGTAATCTTTCTTACCTCCCTTGCTTTCTGTTGTGATAAGATATTCTAAACTTATCTCTTACATTTCCTCTTCTGGATCTAGAATCAACCATTTCTCCAAAGAGCCTGGTTCCTAGTAGTTAGGAGTAATATAAACATGTAAAAACTGTTTAGAAAGGCAATTTATAGACAGACAGACTCTTTGAAAACTTGGTGATTTCTCCTACAGAAATATTTACCACTTTTAAAGTTGCTGTACCATATTATTAAAAAATATAGTTTATAAGAGCATAAAGTTAGAAGGGAAAGCCTTAATGACTGAAGAGCAGAATGTTAAATAAATTAGAGGAAAACCATTCTTAGGATATATGGCTAATGTTAGAAAAATAAAAATTGATATGTACTTTAATAACAAGATCTCTATCTCTAAGATGTTACCAAGTGAAAAAATATGTTGCAGAATAATACTTACAGAACTGCTTTATTTATGTTTAAAAATATGTATATCTCTCATTTGCATGAACATGTATATATAAATGGATATAAGTACATAAAGGAAAATAGAAGGATGCACATACAACTTCTAAAAGTGGTTTCTCTATTGAGTGACATGAAATGAGATGGGAGAGGTGAGGGGACTAGCATCTATTATTCTGAGTATTTATATTACTCTTGGATTTTTAACATGAAAATGAATTCATCTGTTACATACATAACACATAAAATACATAAATCAATATGTGGAAGGACTTCCACTTCTGGCCACAATGAAATAAATACACTAGAAATGCCCTCCCCACACTAAACAAGTAGAAAACTGGACAAAATACGTAAAAACAATGTTTCTGGTCGTTTGAGAAAAGGCATCATGACAGTGATTCTTAAGAGTAGGGAAACAAACTAGGTAACCTCATAATGATCCCAGCTGTTGAAACAGAGGCATTTCCGAGACTGCTGAGCAGGAAGGGAATAACCAAGCAGAGCACTGTGATCTCACCGAAGTGACAAGACAGACACTGGAATTGGGGAGACTGAGGCAGCTGAAATTTGGAGGCACTGTCAGAGAGGGCATTAAGCAGAGAAATAGATCCAGAAATATTAACAGAAATCCCCTTGAGTCTGATGCTGAATACTAATCTGCACGTGTAGGGGCACAGAGATACTCAAGTTCTAACCAGATACAGTGATGTGACTTTAATGAACATCCAGGGCATTTCTGTAGAAACATCAGAAGTGTTAAGCCTTAGCAGAAGGCCTTCACTAGCTCTAGACTAAGATTACTTTAGAGCCTTCTTAATAAAGCTAAAAAAGGGAGCGCCTGGGTGGCTCAGTCAGTTAAGTGTCTCCGTTGGGTCAGGTCATGATCCTGGAGTCCTGGGATGGAGCCCGGCATCAGGCTCCCTTGCTCAGCAAGGATTCTGTTTCTCCCTCTGCCGCTCACCCCACTCAAGTGGTCTCTTTCTCTCTCTCAAATAAACAAAATTAAAAAAAAAATAAAGCTAAAAAATAAGCTTCGAAAAGATCAAGTTGATTCACTTAATTGCCTATGCAAGACAAAGTTTGACGCTTTAAAACGAAAACAGCAAAATCCTAGAGATATAGAACAGACATATATGTAAGAATCAAAATGTCCAGTACCCAGCAAAAAATTAATAGACGTGTGAAGAAGCAGGAACATGTGATCTACAACCAGGAGAAAAAAGCCAATCAATAGAAACATATAGAAATGAAAGATAGGAAGTGGCAGGGACTTTTAAATAGCTATAAGTAGACAAATTTTAAAGGAAAACATGAATATGATGAGAAAAAAAGAAAGAAGCTATAAGGAACCAAGTAGAATATTGAAAAATACAAGTTGAAAAATACAATACCTGAAAAGAAAAATTCACTGAATGGGATTAAGAGCAGACTATATAATGCAGAAGAAAAGACTGGTCAATTTGAATACCTAGCAATAAAAACTATCTGCTGTGGGACGCCCAGGTGGCTCAGTCGGTTAAGTGTCTGTCTTGCGAAGATGGAAGACATAAATGAAAATACACTTTTGTAATATTCTTTATGTTAAGTGGTATAATGTTACATGAACAGAGGTTATGGTAAATTAAGTTATATGCCAAAAATCCTAGGACATACACAAAATTATAAAAAAACAGTACAGCCAATAGCAGAGATAAAATGTAATACTTAAAAACATTCAATACACCCCATAGAAGGCAGAGGCAGAGGAAAGAGAAGAACAACAAATGGGACAAATAGAAAAAAAATAAGATGCTAGTATTATATGTAACCATTTTCATAATTATATTCAATACACAAGTTTTAAACCTTGGTTGTCAGAATGGGTAGAAATGTGAGACCCAACTACACACTCTCAACCAGAACATACTTTATCTATCTATTTTTTTTTTTTTTTTTAAGAGAGAGAGAGAGTGGAGGTGGGCGGGGGGTAGGAGCAGAGAAGAGGGACAGAGAGAATCTTGAGCAGACTCCACGCTGGGCATGGGGCTCGATTTCATGAGCCTGAGATCGTGACCTGAGCTGAAATCAAGAGTGGGATGCTTAACCGACTGAGGCACCCAGGCGCCCTCAGAACACACTTCAAGTACACAGAGACAGAAAGGTTAAAAATAAAAAAATGTGGGAAAGATACTCTTTGCAAACACCAGTCATAAGAAACTCGGAGTGGTTCCATTACCATCAGCCTAAGTAGACTTCCAGACAAAGAAAATTACCATGGATAAAGAGGAATATTTCATCAATAAAATTATCAAGAAGAAATATCCTGTATGTGTTTGCATCTAAGAACAGAGTTTCAAAATACATGAAGCAAAACCTGAGAGAGTTCAAAGTAGAAATAAATAGGCAACCCACAGTCACAACTGGACATTTCAACATCCTTCTCTCCATTGTTGACAAAGACAGAAAATCAGAAGGATACAGAAATTCTCAACCAACTTGACCTAAATGACTTTCACACCACA